GACTTTATCAAAGTAGATGTCTTTCTGAAAGCGCTGTAACTAAGTTTAAGAATATAATCCACTCACTGTTATCATCGTCAATGCCCTGTACCAACACAGAGCAGAGCAGCTATCTGAACGCTACACGTGCTGATGCAGCACCTCTCTACTAGCTTCTCATCACTCGCGAATAAGATCCAGAGATTCTTAAAGTTACAGTGCGTAAAATGTCACCACTAGATGTCAGTAGACTGCAGATTCAGTAAACTGAATTCTGTTTTCTTGCCTCTCACAATTCAAGTGCACAAGCCTAGCTGAGGTGGCCGCTTATAAGATGTCACTTTTCCACCCCATAGATAAAAAAAAAACAAGAGTTCCTGCAGCCTGATGCTTGCTTTGACTTCTAATGATCATGTACATAAATGTGTATTAAATTAACTGTACCAAACCAAAATAGAGCTGTCAGACTGAAATAACTAAAAGAACCTAACTGAAGTTATGTGAGCTTAATAATGTCACTCTCTTCCTTCCAGAAGGCTTATAATTATCCTCAAGATGATCATCAGTATAATGTTAGCTTATGTAACAGGTTCTTCCTCCTGCAGTCTGAGACATTTAGTATAATCTTCGTGTAATATTTCCTAAACTACATCGCTGTGGTTGCCTGAGGGCTGCTTCTCCTTGCATTTAGCAGAGATCTCTTCTGTATTTAAGGATATCACAGCCACAGTTAGTGTGGCTGGGGGAAATGTTTCGTTGTTTCCTCTGCTAAACATGAGTGTGGGCTTGTAAAATACTCCCCACAGTGAAGTTACAGGAAGCTACGAGATGCAGTCATGTTTCCCTGCAGATTTGACAGATGTGCTCTGCTGCCACTGTCAGTGAAGGGTGATCTGTTTTGATAAAGATTTCTTAATTTGGTTTTCTGAGTTGAGAGGATCTTATTACTGTTCCGAAATAAACATGAAAACTCACTTTATGTAACAGCGTTGGCTACATTTAAATGATCATTTAATCGCTTAACCCAGAGGTTCCCAAAGTGTGGGGCCCGCCCCCTAGGGTGGGTGCAGAGCCATTGCAGGGGGGGCACGGTATGAAAATTTAAAAAACGCATTAGCTTGTGTAAAATGCTTGGACACTGCTAGCATCATGGACAGGTTTTCGACGGGGCTCCCACGCAAACGCAAAGCAGGAGATGAAGCATCGCCAAATATGTTTCCAAACCAACTTCCTTCCAAGCCAAAGAAAATATGATGAAGCAAATCTTCCCTTTGGCTTCACCTGCACAAGAACATTTTTCTTGTAAAACAAAGGGGGCCTAGCAAAAAAGGTTTGGGAACCACTCACTTAACCTTTAGTTCACTTCAGTTTTTTTATATAGCGCCATTTGACAACCAGTGTGAATGGTGTTAGCCTCTGTGTGTTAGCCCAGCAACAGAATACAAAATAAAGAGTAACGATGGAAATATGTGCCTCTGCCCCCCCATGATGCAAAGCCAGTGCCGTTAAAAATGTCAATAAAAACAAAATGCAATGATTTGCATCAATGAAATGTTATACTGTAGGGCTGCTCCATATAACGATATATATCGGATGACGATATAAAAACGTCTATCGTTTCATTTTACGCTTCCGATTTTTTACACATCGTTTGTTTCGTGGTGTTGCAAAATAAACTGTTTACGGCAATATTTTTTCATGGTTTTGATGGTCACTGTAGTTATTATTAACTCTTTCTCTTATATTTTATATAACCACACTACGGACGGACAAGCACCTGTTTTTATGCGTTGTGGTTAGCAACTACGACAGTAACACCATCGCGTGTCCGCTTGTTTATGTTCCACATAAACCTTTCACAATAAAGCTCAAGATCCTGTTGAGACTTTTCAAAATAAACTGAATCACGTCAAAGAGCAGCTGGAAACACTTCACGTAAGTCGAGCTGCCTGAGATTCATAGAATTTACAGAAAATGTTACATTTTTGTGATTTATATCGTTATCAGGACGATAGAATTCTTATATCGGGATATGAGGTTTTAGTCATATTGCACAGCCCTATTATACTTTGAGAGGAACCAGAAGTAAGATGCTCTTAATGATCTGTTGCGATACTGTTACCATGAGGTCTTAAAAGATGATGCAGTCTGATCATTCAGGACTTTGTACAAGAAGGTTTTTAAATTCATTAGTCAGCAGTGTTGGGAAGGTTACTTTTAAATGTATTCCACTACACATTACAGAATACATGCCCCAAAATGTATT